ATTTATATATTGAAGTTAACGTTTAAATTGTGATCATGGTCAGTTTTGATTCTGCAATTGGATACAGATCCAAAACCGCCGCTATGTATTTATGCTTTTAGTCGATGTGGCAGTTAGGTACCATTGATGCGCTTAAGTTGTGAAACTATTGAGTCGATGTTTGATGAATTTGCAAGTGGCTGTTTCGCTCTTTATTGTTTCCAGTAAGTTGTATGGTTCAATTTTGTATAATCCGCAGTAATTTTCATATTCAGCTCTGGTGCAGTGGAATATAGGGCAATCTTTTAAGATGTGTGTGATGTCCTGTTTAGTGTGGTTATCACATGGGCAACAATCATCGGGTGTTATTTTATATTTGTGCAGATAGGCCTTGTGGTAACCGTGGCCCGAGAGAATTTGTGTGACAGAAAAAGAAGGTTTGACAACTGTTCGAAATTCCGTTATTTCGGCGATGGTTTGGAAGAACGACTTTGTGACTGCTCCTTGCGGAGCCGTTTCACGGTCCTTTCCTTCAGATAGCGTTTAGTGTGGGATAGCGGGAATACGTTCAGAAGTGCCGCTGTTTTCTTGGCAGCCGCCTCTTTGGCTGCAGCGTTCTGCATTTTAGTTTTGATTCACTATTTTAGCGGTAATGACTTACACATTAAAAATAGATATATGGTGTCACAGACTTTTTTTTAAAACTATTTAAGAGATACATTTTCACTCTACATTACATTCATGTAACTTTTATTGTTTTTGCAGTGCAGGCCAAAATGGCTCGCAGATGGGAGATTTTTTTCCGTCTTATGTGACACTTATTATTATATATTGGCCAATTCACTCAATAACTACATAAATAATTATATATATGTAATTATCATATATGCGCTATATTACTGTTAAGTTTCATTAAAATCCATTCAGTATTTTTTAGGTGAAAGAGTAACAAAGATCCATACAAACGTAAGATTGAAATTAAAAGCGTAAGTGGTTAATATACAACTTTAAAGCGTTGTAGATCCTAAACAATCATATAAAATGAAAAATGGTGTTAGGAACCTAAATACGATTTTTGATTATCTAGACAGTGATACCCCACTCGACATATTTTGTCAACTTATTTTTTTTACTTCGTCACAATATGGCGCCTAATGTTGCCCATATTGAATTTTGATTACTATCATATCTTTGCCCATATTGAATTTTGATTACTATTGTAGCACTCCCATGATTGAGACGAATCGATTGATGTATGAATCATCAAAAACGGTCCAGGCGTTTGGTCTCTAGTGTGCCACAAAGGAACAAACATACATATATAGACTGTTAAACACATAACCCTGTCTGCGCGTCGCGCTTCGCGCTCTTTCATTGCGCAGCCGGGTAAAAATCTATACATATAATAAAATGGTAGGAAAGTCAAAACTGTACATAGTTTTTTTTTAAAGAATACTTGGATGTGATCTACAATCGATACCGAAGCCATAAATATAGTTATTAGAATTTTTGTGTTTGTCTGTATGTATGTCGGGGATAAACTCAAAAAGTACTGCATGGATTTCCTTCAAATTTGGCACGAATATTATTAAGAATTCGGGTCAATATATTACATATTATCACGCTATCGCCTACGGGGAACGAGCTGTGAACCTTTATTTCCTTCTAACTCCACGCGTACGAAGTCAGGGGCGGCCGCTAGTAACAAATATAATGTTAATTTTATAAATGTACATATATTTATATATTATAATTTATTTATTTCATTTAAAATTATTGAACACAAATTACAATAAAAACGATTCGTTGGAAGAAAAAAAAATATGTAATGTTCAAAATGTAATCCCTTCTGTAGTAAGTATACAAAGTCTCATATTATAATAATTTCTCTGCCTGGCGATTTACTTAACTTTGCGTGGTGAATGTTTGAAATAATACGTCTACCTCCTGCACAATGTCGTATCTATGGGATGTGAAGATAGACAGAGTGCCTATCGCAAGTGTTCCAAAAAATTTAATTGTGCATGTGTGCGTATCGGTGTTTTTTTTTATTCACTTATTTATTTGTTACATTTTAAGTTGATAATGGGTTTTGTTATATTGTGATGTAGATGATTCGATAGTTGGTATAGTAAGCCCATTGGATTTGTGAGTGATATTGTAGTTTTCTCAACAAGATATGCTTGCTGCTTAGAACAAAGGATACCATAACACAAACTGCATTGTATAAGCACAATAGTTTTCTTAGTTGACAGAATTTCCTAATAAACTTTATCACATTACGGCTTGACAAGACGATGTTAGCTCTTACTTTATTGGACCTAAGGTACATCATGTTGCGTCTCTTTCTACCTTGTAGTATTGTCATAAGGGCATGATATATATTTTCCTCACTCTGCCAGTCTTTAAGTACTAAGTCCATTGTCGTATCGGTTCTTGTAAACCAAATCTTTTACATAAAACTCATGTTCTTCGTTTCATTTAAAACGCTATGTTATTTAGGAAAAAAAATATCCTTATGATTACCCCTTATGACAATAATCATGAAATACATGTTTTTGATGTGTAACATCTTTCCTCTCGCTTTCCCGCAATTTGTGAGATTGATTTCGTGAAATGATACGGAAGTGTGTAACAGGAAGTCGCGAAAGCACGCGCTATTTGATTTGATTTTAGAACATAATGTTCAAATGGCTTATTTCTTTTGTAGTAGGTTTTTTCTTTTTTTACTAATATAAGGTGAGGTTTCAAATGTTACACATCATACGCGACTACTGTTAGGCTCGCTCGTTTTTAAAATTTCATGAGTTCGATTCCTGGTTGAATGCAGTTCTAATTATTATTAAAAATAAAATGATGTCTCCTTTCAGTAAAATATCCTATCTTCAATATTTTATATCAAATACCTAACGGATCCGCCATACACTGCCGTTCATGATTGATCATACCTGTTTCCTTAGGAATAATATTAAAAAATCCTGAATACATCTGCAGTATCACCTACGGGTGTAAGTGTGCGTGATACTAAACCATTCATTCCCACTCAAACAGATATATATGACAGACATAGATGACACTGGTATTAATAGGTAATATGAACTATACAATTTAATATACAATATAAAATTTATTCACAATAGGTAAAAATAACTCATAACAGTATTAACAAGTCCATTGAATCATTCATAACTTACAAGTACGGGTGAATCTTATGGACCTATTGTTTCTGTTGCTACCTAGTACTATAATTAGCACTTCACATTAATACTTCACTCAGAAAATAAACAAGGATTATGTGTACTTACATCCATACTAATATTATAAATGCGATAATGTGCATGTCTGTTTGTTACCTCAGCGTGAGTCCCGAAAAAGGACATACTCGTAAGATGCTTTTTATCCCAGAAATCATCCTTTAAAAGGGTGAAAAAGGGTGAAAAAGGGTTGGAAATTTGTATGAGAAACCAATTGAACCATGCACTACTAATACTTTAAAGTTACTCTTCTTTTACGAATCTTAATTACAAATACATTATATTACAATCTTTGGCAGTCGTGTAATTATGTAAGTTTAACCAAGTAAAGTAAATGCAAGTACTAAATCTTTTTATATTATTTATTCAAGTATATACTTACATATATAAATAAATATTTCTATTATAGCCTAGCCCCAAAGTAAGTACTGCAAGGCTTGTGTTATGGGATACTATAGTAACGGATAGAATACATATATAAGTATATTTATATAGAAATAGGTAATGAACATCCATGACTGGAGTACAAATGCTCGTATTCATCACACAAACATCTGCTCCCACCGGGATTCGAACCCGGGACCTCTCGAGTAGGCCACACCTTGAAACTCGGTGTACAAACCACTCGGCCACGGCGGTCGTCATGTACTGTATGTAACAAGAAATGATATAAAATAAACTTTTAAGTTCTGTACACAAATTTAACGGGAGAAAACGAAAGAATTGAATATAATTATCTAAAGAGTATGAGTATGAGCTATAATGATAGTACTCCCACGTTAACATATTTCAAAATCTTTTTTAAGAACTATTTATCTGAAGAGGGCTGTTGCATTCTTTTCTTTTGAAGTGAAAACTTGTTTAATGTAGTTGTGACTTGAGATTCGATGAAACGGAAGAGTTTTTAAAACAAGATAGGTATTAATGGTAATTTATTATTTAATTGTTTTAATGGTAAGGAGAACACACTTTTTTAACATCAAAGCGATGGTGCATTCTATACAACGGGTCCAAAACTACGCAAAAAGTTTTTTCACTATCAGTTAAATAAATTTTCAGAAAAGGTTTATAATTATATAAAGAAAGTCATTGTGTATAATAGAAGCCTGAGAACAATAACTATAGTCTACATATATACAACGAAGCTCTACACCGAGCAAAGCGGGGGCGGGCCACTAGTCATATAAAATTTGATTTAATTTAAAAGTATAAAATACCTATTTAATTTTGACCTAGAGAGTTGAATTTTAATACAGATGTTGTCTTTACAACGTACCTAGTCATGGAGTTTTACGTGTTCACATCTTTGTAGGTTTCATTTCTATCGCATATAAACAGCACATGTTCGTTTTTTTTCTATTTGTTAGGTATATAGATTTTGGCGTGGGGGTCAGTATATAATGTTTTAGTTCAGAAAAGTATCTAATGCAAATAAAAATGCGCAAGTATTAATAAAGCTCTTTTCATTTTAGTTTAACTTTCAAGGGAAGTCCGATTTGGCATTGCTTTGATTAAGGTTATTATCACAGACATAGTCTGTCCTATGTACATCTCCTACCTAATTTGTAGTCCATAATTTATTTTTTGAAACAGATAATTGTCAATTTTTGTTGCCTATTCAGTTCGATGGCGCGTTTTTGCATCGCTGACCGTTATAGCGACGATGCACGCGGCAGAAATATTTTGCCGTAGCTTTATAAGCGTGCGAGTGGACGGACAGAAGCCAGTTTTCTCACAACGTCCGTCGCTTGAGGAACTTTGTTCAGTATGCAGAGCGCTATTCTTTTCGTCTTGGTGGCATTGACGGCCGTTGTTCTGGCAGGTTAGTGCCCTTTACTTTTTTGTTTACCCGTGTCGAACTGGGAATGCATTTCCAAGTGGCATCAACCTGGCAATTTTCAAACTGTTCCAATGGAAGCTTTTGTACCTACCATCATCAAGCTTTTTGTAAGGGACGTGACATCATTATGTACACTCGCAGTTGTTCGTTTGTTTGTTCTTCTCAGTTTCGCTTTGAATTTTAACAAGTTCTTAGCAAACGCATTCCCAGTGCAATATGTGTTATTGCATATTACTCGTAATATTTGAGAATTCAGAAAAGCAAACAGTATTTGTATTAGCAATTAAAAGTTTGTGACTTAACTTTATAAACTTCGTATTAGAATTACTTAATAGACTTTGGTTTAAGAGTAATAGATTCTGTTTTAGAATTATATAACTGAATATAAGAATTACTTACCAACTTACGAACTAGGAAATATAAGTTTTGAGAAAAAGTTCTTCAGTGCTATTCTGTACGAACAAACGCACTTTTTACCAATAGAATTGGTGCTCTTTATATTATTCATATTAAGTAATTGATCCTCAACCAATCATACAAATATTACTATTTTTTTTAAAGCTTATTCAAAACAATGCAATATTACTTTTTATTTAGTGATTTAACTAGAAGTAACATTTGTATGATCGGTTGAGGATCAATTACTTAATTATTTTGAATCTCAAATACTGTAGAATACTAAAAGATGATTTTCTGATTTTGAGTTCATGTTAACGGAACCCCTGTACTGTAAACTAACAGAAAAACATTGACCTATTTGCAGACCATTTGTCTATTGTCTGAAAAAGAAATTTCTATTCATGCATTTACATGTTTAACTGAAAGTAAAAAAATATGTCTATAACACAGGTAACATCCAAAAAATTACTTTGTACGACAGCCACTATATTTGCGAAATCTTGCTTGGAAAATACTTGTATGTCAAGTAAGTTCGTTCGAAGAACGTAGGAATAATTTGATATCACGCGAGTGACTATTCATCATCATCAGCCTGCTAATTTCCCCCCTACCGGGACACAAGCTTTCTCTGTGGATAGACTAGGAGAAAGGAATCCCTGTCGTGTAGTGGCTATACGTGAATTTGGCGGAATTATGGGTAAATCCCCGTTGAGTCATTAAAAATGAAAGAAGAAGAATAGAAGAAAAGAGCTGTAACTTATCATCCGGGTCCTCGGTTACCACACGGTTTATCACCTTAGAACACGGTTCGTAGGACCGTACTACTGCAGGTGCAGCCGTGACCAATGGCTGCACGTTAGGGTGGAGCGTCAATGTATGGAGAAAAAAAAAGTCATCGAATTGATTTTGAATATCTGAAAAAAGTTGCATTTGGCAAAATTATATATAAATATAGTTTTATTTATTTATTTTGACATATTTTTTAGCCCTCTACCTAAGCTCAAAGTTGCAATAATTTTATTAAATTAGGTAAACCATTAAACATGCATAGAACATTACAAAAATCAAAATCGTATTATATTCTAGAGTAAAGGTAACAATAAAACATGCATTTTATGAATTATAATATTTATTAAGCAAAAAACATGAAATTTGAAAGAAAAATGTGTCGAAATTGTAAAAAATTCTATAAATTACTATTTTTTTTTAGTATTTTTAAATCTTATTTTGTTTCAAAATATGGCATAATTGTATGGGATTTTATTTTAGAACGAATAAATCCATCTCTGGCTTTTTCGGCAACTACACTAATCGATGCTTCAGAGACCATCTTGACACATCGCTCTACTGCTTGTGTGTGACAAGGATAATCCGACAACTCCAATGTAATATTGGAGTTTGATGCAACCACGTCTTGCAGTTCTTTGTCACTGATATCTTTTAGCACTGGAGGTGATGTAACTTGTGACTCGCTCCATAAAATCATATTAGTGTAGTTATTGGCATCATAGTTTATCTTCGGAACTTTAAATATTCTTAGCCCAAGTTTTGAATTTTTTCTTGCTGTGATTATTCGCATTAATCCCAATTCTGTTACATGTGGCCGATTGTCGTAAAACATTGCTAATAAGAGGTTTTTAGGATGTACGAAAAATTAATTTCTTTGTATAACTGGATCAATAATCTTTTTAATGTCGGAGCTCAAACATCGAGAGAAATAATTTGAATTAATTTGTAGTCGTGAGTTAGGCCTTCTTTAAATGAACTATCTTTCTTTATATAAAACCACACAGGAGCATAAACTTTTACAATATATTCTGTGAGTTCAATTAATTGTCGTGACGGATTCGGTGTGGCCACATATAGTCTCAAGATTCTGTTAGCCGTTTTTAACCAACGTGAATGGGCCATTTTTCCAGGATTTCTGTTAGACAAATCTTGAGAACATGATCCGCTGCTTACTGCTTGACAGATTTGGTATAAATATTTCTGATCTGTACTCAGACTACTTTCAGTTTCCTTCTGTAAAACAGGCATGTTTGACAAGATAGCAGAAAACTTAGTAACAGCGAGATCAGTACAGTTTTCTAGCGCTTTTCCTATTGTCTCTAATTTTACTATAAACTTTTCAGTTTGTTTAGATTTTGGATAGCGTAAAAAATACAGTACATATCGTTAATTGTTTTTAAACATTTGTTTCACACGCTGTATGGTTACGGTTGGTAATGAAGCCATAGTCCACATTTCTATGAGATCAATTGCCACTGTATCGAATACTTTAGAAATAGAAGGCTCTTTGTCATTTGCATAGAAAAAAAAGAAAAATGCTACATCATTAATGTAAGCAGCTCAACTTACAAAGATCTTTGCGATTTTTGTTTATTTTCTTCACTTGGACGTATTACTATAAACTTTGTATTAAGTTTATCAGTACATTGGGCTTTTGTAAATAAAATTTGTAAATTCTAAGGTATTATGAGTTACAATAACAATAAAAGAAATGTTCATTTCTTATCATAATGATGCTTCATAAATAGCCTTGATTTGATGATTTTTCACAATTTTCAAGCGGCAGTAGAGAGCTAAAAATTGCTTCCAATATTTTTTTTATTAATTTTTTTGTATATTTGAGAATGTAATGCAACTTTCTAGTGCTATTCAATATTGAAAATAATAATTTTTTTTTGACGCTCCACCCTACTGCACGTGTGTAACAGTTGCTATAATTTAAGATCAGTGGCCTAATGCCATCAAGGTCCTAGATGTGCCAGGGATGCATTTTAATATCACTCTTAGTACTACGTTATAAAGGCTGTCAATGTTAACTAATCTGTGAGTTAGTAGATACTAGAAGTATTACCTAAATGTGAGCGAACGAATAAAATACTTACTTATGATTTTATTTTATATTTAGTTATGTAGTTTTATTGGCAATACAATTTACTTGTAATGTTCAAGTATTATAAAGATAAATATGGATGATTAATTTCAGCGTGTGTGTGACTAGGTTAAGCGGAACTGTAGCTTAAAAACGTGATTAATTGACTGCATCAATGTTCGTTGATCACGATTCTGTGAGGCCATTTAGCCAGGGGCAATCTTCGAAAACATGACCAAATCGATGATCTCAACTTTACGTTTTGCGTATCAAGTTTTTTTGCCACTTAAAATGCTGTTCGAAATTACTAAGAAAGAGATATTTCTCGGTAAAAGTAATAAGTTAATTGCGGGTCCGAAGCTGTTTTTTTTTTGTTTCCTCCCAGGTGGAGGAGCGGGTGTGAAATCTTCATAGATACCCTACAGCCGGCTGCCGGGTTATGTGAGACTCTTACGGACTAAAACTCACCCGTGGGGGGATGATGTGTTCATCCCCTAAGAAGGGAATAATGCAGGTCCGAAGCTGTCTTTTTTCCTGATTCATCAACATGAATGATGTGATGACTTCTTCATACGATTAAAAAACAGCGGTTGAAGCGGGATACATTATACATTTCATATAAGCAGCCATATTTGTCTCATTTTAACAATCGTAGTCGCGTTAGGGTATGTCGTCGATAGTTCATGGTACTTATGGTTAAGACTGTTGAGAATTTTATTATTCCCATTTCTATTCACCTAAATTTTGGTGAAATCATACTTCTACAACAACTAACGTTTTTTACTAAAAACTAACATAATATGTAATGTACGATTGAGTTAGGATGCTTATTCGTAGTATTTTAAAACGAGAAATAACATCCATCAAAGCAAAAGACTCTGCAGTTAGTTACCTCGGTTTTTGTTGCAAAAATACCTTAATTATATTTGAATAAAAAAAACTGAGATTAATAATACGATTGACGACAGAATTCAGAGACGTCAATTAAATTAAATGCTAGTAAATGTGTCATGTTGTATTGTTTTATTTTGAAGCGAATCGACAGCTAATCTTCATACACCTTTAAAATCAGGCGGAGGGAGGAGTATTATGCTGGGCTTCTCTCATCAGTAAAAAAAATATTACCTATTTCTGTCCCCGTAGCATAACCACCACTATATATATTTTATCACATTTTTACGTCTAGCCGTCAAACTCCATAGTAATTTAACAATTGAGCGTTATAAAAATGTGCTATTTATCATATCACGATGCTAATGGCTGAGTGGCATCAGCGAGCTTTTATCGCATTACAATAAAATTTTAATTACGCCCGTGCTAATCTAGCGCTCAGTAGGTACATTAAGCCGTTAGTCCCGGCTGCGTCTGCAGTCATTAGCACCTTTTTTTTTTGTTGACGATGGAAAATGCATTTACGCACCGTACCGCGCGCTGGCTGGGCGCGCGGCGTGTGTGGGACTCCCCGGCGCGGAACAACGCCGGTCCTACCCACTAAAAACCACCGGTATCCTCCTACGCCCATATGGGGGAGTCTCAGGATCGGCGCACCTTAGTGTACGCCACTTCACTGGGACGCCCCCAGGCTGGCCCGACCCAACGAGTGGACTGGGCGACACGCCTCTGGGGGATTGCGCTAGGGTACTAGGCAATCCCCAGACGGGGTGGCCTATGCCGAATGGCACCAAGGGCACGCGGCGGCCAAGCTGCGCCCAGACCACCTTAGGGCCGACGAAGACCGGCAGTCACAGCTGCCAGCCTTCTTCGGCCCACCCGTCTACGTCGGAGGGGAGCGGCTAGAGCATCCTCCTCCCGCTCCCTCTCCGCTGCCTCCTTCTGCCCCATCACAACTTCGCAGAAGGAGACGGCAGCCTTCCATGCCCTCTTATTGCCAAGCATGGCTCGAACCATACTTGGCAATGAGAGCGGTCCTCCGCCGAGCGCCGCCATCAACGTGCGGCGCTCGTTTCGCCAGGCCAGGCACACGATCAGCGTGTGCTCGGCCGTGTCGTCGGGGAAGGCGCAGTGGTGACACCGCGGCATCTCCTCCCGACCGGCGACACGGTGCAGGTAGTGGCCGAAAGACCCATGTCCGGTCAGTACCTGCACCAGGCGGTAGGTGAGGCTGCCCCGCTGGCGCCCTACTCACTCCTCCAACACCGGACGGATCGCCTCGATCGTCCGGTGGCCAGCGGCTGGGTTGGCGAGTGCCTCGCCCCATCGGCGCAGAGCCTCCCTCTGCGCCTGGGTGCGGACCCGTTCGATCTCCTCCCGAACGGGCCGCTCGCCCCGCGCTCTCGCCGCGGCCTGTGTCGATGCACCTGGGACAGAACCAGGGCATCGATCTCCCACGGGAGCGTACCTGCGAGGACGCAGGCAGCTCCGTGGCTGACCGTGCGGTAAGCCCGCACGGCCCGGGCCGCGATGACCCTCTGTGGTCTCCGTAAGAGGGCCTTTGTGCGGGACGAAAGGCACTCCGCCCACGCCGGGGCTCCGTACAGTGCCATCGACCTTATCACTCCATTATAAAGTCGACGACACGACGCCCTCGGCCCTCCCACATTGGGGAGGACAGCCGGGGAGCGAGGAGCCTAAAATGCTCCTCGAACCTCCACCGGGGATCCAGGGTCAGGCCGAGATACTTCATGTACATCTCGACATGAACCTGGATCCCCTCAACCCGGACACGGAGCCCCAGTGGGGTCCTGCGACTTGGGGCATGGAACGCCATGGCCCTCGTTTTATCGAGGGCCACCTCCAACCCCAGGAGGCGGATGCGTCGGACGACCATGGAGGTGCCGACCGACGCAAGGTGGACCGCCTCCTCCCACTCCTTCGCTCTCGCCGCGACAAGGGTGTCGTCCGCGAAGCAGACGACATCCATTCGCGGCAAGAGCGAGCCACGCAGGACCCAGTTGTACCCCAGATTCCATAATAGAGGGCCTAAAACGGAACCTTGGGGCACACCCGCCGCCACTGTCCACGACTGGACGGACGCGCCCCTCCGCGTCCTCGTAGAGAACTGACCGGTCCCGCAGGTAGTCCCGTACGAGGGCGCGGAGGTAGAGGGCCACTCGGTGGAATTCGAGCGCCGCCTCTATGCAGCAGTCATTAGCACCTACCAATTTGTCATCTGTGGTTATGGCCCAATCTTCCTATTCCATCCATAGGGTACGCCTGTGCCCCAGCAGTGGGGACATTAATAGGCTGCTGATTTTAAAATCCACGTTGGTCTTTGATAAGTTTCCTATTCACATCCAGGGGGCCAGTACTACGTACCACGAGCCTACTACACCATCGACCCTGAGGGTCACGCGTCGCTGCCCGTGCCACTGCGCCGCTTGCGCCGGTCTTTCAACCCCTACCCGTATGCAAACGGCGGCGCGAGCGCAAATGCCAACGCTAACGCTGAAGCCTGTAAGTATTTAAATTGTATTCATACATAGTGCATGAACCGGCGTAAGGGAAAGGCATTCGAACAAAAGCCAGGAATATAAAATTTCAGATTTATACAAGATCAATAATATAATCATTCATTCGCGTTTTCTTTAATCTACGAAAGTATTTTTTTAATAACTACACGCAATGTATGTGTCACAGACAAACTGATCAGTTAATTTTGATATTACGTGTATCTATGGAGACTTTCATAATAATTAACAAAAAAATATTAGTTTTCAAGAATATGGAAAACTCCATTACGGTAATAAATTACACGAGGCCTCCAAGTGAAGCTTAAAGCAAACGGTTCATGGACGGGCGTCATTCTAAGCTCTCATTCTATTGTACACACAGCGAATATAAACGTAATCAGTAGAGTTTTTTTCATCGTTAGAAGGTTACCCTATACAATACTTTTATAATTAAAATAAAATTACAGCACAAAGGTTCTACTTAACCTTCAATCAATTTACACGTCTTACTATAAATATTTTCATAAAAGGTTAAAAGCAAATAATGCCACTCACATTCTACCTCAAATGTTCTTTAGTGCAGTCTGTCTACGAATTTGACCCTTAAGTGAAGGTACAGTAAACAAAAATATGTATGAGTGTGTAAAAGAAAGATAATTTTTTGTAGAATTCAATAATCCAAATTGCAAATAACTGACACCTCGGGGGCTCATAGTAACTTGGGCCCAAAGCTGGCCAAAAACGGTTTTTTCTATTTTACTCAGTCATGGTGCCATAAAATAATAATAAGTTGTGTACAAAAGTTGTAGAAGCTATTCAATATGGATCGATCTGTAAATGTCCAATGTTTTGTAAAATAAATTCAGAAATTAATTATTCATTTGCAAAAAACCGTCACAATATTTGTTCTGATAGATAGCCCTTTTATCAAGAAAGGTTTTAGGCTATATAACATCTTAATAATACTAATATAAAATTTATGCGAAAACGGGAAAAAATATTCCTTTTCAGAGCTTTCGTTGCGTGCGCTGCGTTTAAAGGTACACAAAAATCATCATCAAGAAATTGTTCTCCTTTAAAGGTTCTAAAAAAAGGTCCACGATAGCATAATAATTATGTGTATATTTTAAGGTTGTTCAAAATAATGAATTATCTACGTAGGTGTTTTTTTAAACATAATAATAATTCCTTATCAAAAATGAACACATTATTCATCACAAGATTTTATTTTGTTAAAAATGGTTGTGGACTTCAGTCGATTTTAATAAATCTTGAGATATCATAGTTTTAAAATAGCTTTTTATCACATCTATTCGAAAAGAGCTAGTTATTTACAGGGACCAAAATAGTGTTTTTATCCCTAGGGACTAAAAGTTAAAATAATGTAAAAATGATACCTACAAAATCTCACGAACAATAAATAAAAGCAATTGAAAATTTCATCCTATGGAAAAAGCAAGAATGGTGAAATCTTGGTCAGAAAATGTGTATTTTCAGAGAATGTGTTATTAAATCGTAGAAAATCGATGTTGATATTGAGATTTTCAGGATATTTAGGTAATTCTTCATAGAAGTTTGTAAAATAATTTGGATCATATTACAATATTATGATCTATATGATACAATCATATTCATGGAAAAATACACTTAAATATTTGTTTACTGTAAATAAAACCATGTAGGAAAGTATATCAAAGTAGCTGGGAGAATTAGTTCTGGTTCAATTGAACTAAAATAATTTTCACGTCACGTTCGTCGGCGTGAAATGCACATGGAGGCAAATACCGTGCACGGCTTGCTCGACCATACATACAAAATACTTAAAACACGCAGTTAATATTGATATGCGCGATCAGTCTCTTATACTCGTATGTAGATTACGGTAATAGTTTTACTTACGGGACTGTCTCGGGAAGTCTCTTGGTTATCGATCAAGGTTATCAACAGTTATACGATACCTACTTTCTTTGCTTAGACTTCTACGGACTACTAGTACAGATTTTTTAGCATCGCTTAACTAACTTACGCTTTATTGCGGAAATTTTACGATGTTTCCAGCTTCCACCCATTGAAATAGTGGTTTATTTCTGTCGGGACACTGGTAACATTAAAATTAAATTATTAAATAAAATGTCCAAGTCTTTTGAACAATATTTAATTTTACTTCTTTTTTGCCTAATTCAAGCGAATGGAGAATTTTCCAAATCAAGGATTAAATTTTTAAATCAATAAGTATGTATTTTGGAGTAACAAATTTATTCAGTTACTTTAATGAATATATATTTAAGGAACAACGTAACAAAAGTTTAATAACGTTAACTTTTTTCATTACTGGAAAAGAGGTTAATTGCAATCTCTTTAAGTATTGTTAATTTGTTTTCACTGAACAAGTTGATAACCCTGGTGCTGGGTACATAGCTCCGTTGGTCTAACGGTCCACTCAAGAGTAGGTAGACTCTCACAAAAACTTTCGATCAAATCCACTTTCATTACAACAACTAAAGAGTAGGTACACATTGCCCAATTTTTTTCTTTCTTTCTAAGTAGGTTATTTAATTTTAACTTTTGTTTTAATGCTTATTGGGTTTTTAATTGATGTTTAAACAGCTTTTAGCGTACCTTATCCAACTGGCGACCCTGAGATGTTGCTGTCAGGCCATCCGTCATCTTGTAAATTATTACTATGTAATATATGCTTTGGACTGAGAATCTCGACGTATTTTCCAGCTCTTAAAAATATATCCCTATTTCCCCTGGTCACGCCATAACTTGAAAATGATTTTACTGATTTCACCCATCTTTTTTTAAGTTATGTATTAGAATGCTTTTTTGAAGGTTTTTCTAACAATTACACAAAGGAAATTGCGCATGAAATTCGTAAATTTATGAAAACTTAAATTACACCAGTCTTCCTGATAGATGGCGCTACAGTTGGGTTTAAAGATTTATTTTTATTATTTTATCAAGCAGGACAGCTGCAAGGTTTACTAGTTTTAATTTAACAAAAAATGTACAAGGTTTTTCTTGCACGTTACAGATGGTGGCGGTAGTGCGAATGCCAACGCTAACGCGCGCTCGGAAGGAGGCTGGGCGCCCCCCCTCATCGGAGGATACGGCGCCTCAAACCCCAACGTTTTGAGGTGATTGTTTTAAAATAAATAATATTAACCCAGCATTAATTATTTAGCGAGCGAAACACTTTCCACGTTATAGTTACCAGAAGGTTTGCTACAAAGTACCTTGTCATAAAAGGAGGAGGTTCTCAATTCGTCAGTATATTTGCTGCTGCAAGTACGATGATGACGTAGCAATGTCAGGCCTCGCAAAAAACAAGGCACCATCCCACTTATTACTAAAATATCAGATACGAAGATGATTATGAAAGTTTAAAACAATATTCTTTCCTCGTTCAAAGATAAACGATGTGACAAAAAGACTACACTTTTGCCTATGCATAAAATGAAAGCTATCGCGGTAAGAATAAAGGCCCCTGTTCGAGAATTACGGAGGAAGTCTTAACTTTCCTTTTCAACAGTATAATTTCTAAAGCTACATTCCCTTCTGCTTGGAAAGACGCCCAGATTGCCCCTTTGCCTAAAGGAGGGAACCCTAAAGTCCTCTCTGAATTTTGTCCTATATCCATTCTTCTTTTTTTTATCCAAAGTGCTTGAACGTCTCCTTCATAAACAGGTCAATAATTTCCTTACTCGCCATAGTCTCCTTAATCCACTCCAATCAGGCTTCCGTCCTGGCCATAGCACTGTCAATGCTTTAGTCAAGGTTACTGATGATATCCGACAAATTAACTGGATTGCTCTTCCTAAAGTAAAATTCAAAGGAACTGATATACCTTATAGTACTACGGCGAAAAATCTGGGAGTGATATTAGACAGTACATTAAGCTGGGAGCCACAGCTACAATCTGTAAGTCGGAAGCTGTATGCGTCTGCTGGTTCATTAAGAAGACTACGTAACTTTTTACCTACTGCCACTAAAATTATGCTATCTCAATCTTTGTTACGTCCAGTCCTTGACTATGCTGACGCTTGCTATCCTGACCTTACGGAGGACCAGCTAAATAAACTTGAGCGCCTTCAAAATTTCTGCATCAGGTTCATATTTGGTTTAAGAAAATATGATAACGTTTCCCAGTATCGTTCTCAACTCAAGTGGCTTTCAATTCGTCGTCGCCGGGATACTCATATACTTTCCCTTCTTTACAATATTTTGTTTAATCCCTATTACCCCAATTATCTCAAAGAACTTTTCAGTTTTCTCCACAGTTCCCATGCCCAGACGTTACGCTCATCAGAGAATCTGAGCCTTAAAACTCCTGTACACAATACCTCCTTCTATAAATATTCTTTTTGTGTTGAAGCTGTGCGCCTCTGGAACTCTCTTCCTGTTGAGATTAGACGTGCACAGACTATAGGAAAGTTTAAAAGTGAGATAAAGGAATTTTTCCTTTTACAATAATTGTTTGTGTTCCCATGCATTCTCCCTGTTCTTGCTTGCATCATATGATTATTATTAAGTTTATTAAAAATGTGTATTTTATTTTATGTAGCGATGTATGTTCTTGATTGTTTATTTGAATTTTTATCAGTTTCTATTATTTAATATGAACAGTAATTTTAATTATGGTTAGATTTTGTTTTCTTTTTTTTGAATTTTTATTTTAGTCTTGTAATTTTAATTAAAATTCGTCTCTCCATCCTATGGTTGTCTGGAAGAAATGGCTATGTGCCATAAGACCGCCAATTGACCACCTATTTAAATTAATGTCCAAACTTTGTAATTTATTATATGGAGTGTTCAATAAAGTATTATCTATCTATCTATCTATATACGGATAACGATCATGAATTAATTAAAATAATAACCTTTAAGAAGTTAGTATTATAGATTGTATCTTCTCACGCTTTTAGGTGATCCATGGTAGCAGCTAGATTTGCTGAAAATTATTCCATAATAAATGCGAGTCGGGCTTATACACGATGTGTGCGTTTTATAACTAAAAAAAATAGCTTTTTCTTACCGCCATGGTAACGTTTTTTTAAGGGAAATTTTCTTTAAAGAGAGTCACAATACATATTGTTGAAATATACATATGTCAGCTTTACAATTGAATGCGAGTATGGATCTATCACGGTTTATGATCCTAGTTAATATAATAAATGTATTTATAATGCCAATTGCCCGTTTTTGCGTGATTGAGTAAAATTCACATGCAAATTTGCCATGTTTATTACTCAATCACGCAAAAATGCCCGTACGTATTTAAACGAAATTTGGGACTCATATAGTTTACCACCTGGATTGAGCCATGTATTATCTTGGATAATGTTAGGCTAACTATAACGCGGACGAAATCGCGGGCGCAAGCTTGTACGGGTTACGACAGGTGATACATCGCGATGGCAGACGGAGGGACGAAAGAGGATAATGATCCTCTTTCGTCCCTCCGTCTGCCATCAAACAAAACTTGATGAAGTTTTATAGATTTCTTCCTTTATTTTGTCACGCTCTAGAACTGTTTCTAATATAAATAAATCCATTAATTTGGGCACTCTGGACTTTTAAAGCAATCATTTATTTTCTTTTCAATTACATAATCATGTATTTCGACAAGAAATACAGATAACAAATTTGATTTATGGTACACACATAAATCGTTGTGTATTAATTTTCTTGAAATTTTCCTCATACAGTATCAAGTTTTGTTTAAACTCCATGATTTGAATCAATTATAAACAGTTTAAAATAAAATAAATATGATAAACTAATATTTAATAAATAAAGCAATTTTCATGAAGTCAATAAAACACATTTTGTCATTACAAATTTATCATCAACTAATTAATGCACTGATAGAGCACATCTCTAAGAATGGAATTAGGAGAATGGCACAACCCACCTCGCGGGCCCAGTGTGGATTAGGGGGTGCTAACGACTGCTGATATAACCGGGATAAATGCACTAACATTTCTGTTCATCTATCCTAAGACCGACCATTGCGAGACTTGCTTAACTTCCACAATCGCTGACTGAATGCAATAAAATACGACCCCATCGAGTTCCACCAAGATGGCTCTGTTTTGATAAAAATTAAGAACCACTAAATTACACGTCTTTTTAATCTCAAGAATATAGGTTCGGGTACTTTTAATTGAGTAGAACTTCATCATCATCAGCCTATTACTGTCCCCACTGCTGGGGCACAGGCCTTCCCTATGGATGGAATAGGGAGATTGGGCCATGACCCACCACGCGGGCCCAGTGCGGATTGACGGGTGCTAACGACTGCAGATGCAGCCGGGACCGACGGCTTAACGTACCTTCTGAAGCACGGAGGAACTCGAGATAGAAGGTTTTTGGTCACCCATCCAATGAACAACCACTGCGAAAGTTGCTTAACTTCAACGATCGCAGCCGAACGCGCTACCCATCTGCGGCATCCAGCTCCTCGAGTAGGACTTATGTTCATTTATTAAAAATAAATCCAATATTAAGATAATATACTTATGCGTAAGTAGCTCTGTATGTCACTTTCTTACACCTAAGTTTATAATAGCATGGTATAGTGCGGTTAAAAGAGGCAGGACCAGACCCCTCTTTCCCAGTGGACACTTTGGGCAAGTGTCCAGGGCCCCGCGATCGATAGGGGCCCCAGATCAAATACAAAGTCCCTAGTTACTGGCAGATCACGAAACGATAACCAATATTTATTACCAAAAAACTTATATAAATAGATGAAATCGAACCTAAATTACTGACTACAATACCGACTTATTAGCTTTTACATAAGCGAAGCTATTCTACTCTCGCCGAAAAATAAGGCTTTCCGACTTCAGCATGCTTAGATAAATTTAAATATACTTATAATGGTATACTAAGCACATATACATTTTAAAGAAAAATCATCAGTATGACTCGCTCCATTTCAAGTCATAATCTACATCAAAGTCATAGGGGCCTACATATCCTAATATGCCCAGGGCCTCCAATAGGTTAAAGACGGCCCTGGGCAGGACGCATCTAATTTTTTCTCTCTGGGGAAGCAACCTTCACCCTACTGAAGACCACAATACAATAATACTACCTTTTGATGATATTATGTTTCTGCTGGTGAGTAAGGTTCCAGGGCTCCACGGGGTAGGGGATTGGCCGGCTAGGTGAGGATGGCTGGTGTGGCATACTTTCTGCCGCATCATCTCATCATCAGCCTATTAATGTCCCCACTGCTGGGGCACAGGCCTTCCCTATGGATGGAATAGGGAGATTGGGCCATGACCCACCGCGCGGGCCCAATGCGGATTGGTGGGTGCTAACGACTCAGATCCAACCGAGACCAATGGCTTAACGTGCCTTCCGAAGCACGGAGGAGCTCGAGATAGTAAATATTTGGTCACCCATCCAATGACCGACCACTGCGAAAGTTCCTTAACTTCAACGATCGCAGCCGAACGCGCTAACAGTTGCGCCATCGAGCTCCTGCAGCCGCATCATCTACGAGTATCTTGGCAAAAAAAAAGGTTCTCAGTCTCTAGCATTAAAATTGAGCGAGTTATGATAAAAATAAGGTCGGTCCCTACATTCTTCTCTTAATTGAAATAGATCTTTGCCCCTCCGCGATTCTCTTTATATATTAAACAACAATAATTTAAAATGCTTAATTAAAAAAAAAAGCTTAAAGTGAAAAACGATTTTCCGCAATTTCGTAAAAAAGCCATTTTCTTTAAAATAACTGCAAAAATATTGGGGATACGAAAAATGCTTGAGTTAATATATTGTAGCTTTTTTGATCACAAGGATTTTACTATGCGTTGATTTTCTGGAATATTAGAAATGTTTGAAGAAAATGTTAATCATCTTTTGTTCATGAAAATTCATACGCATGTGTTATAAAAGATATTATCGCTTCTGTGGATATGCTTAATAGGTTGTATTTAATATATATAAAAAATGCAAGTGGTAGAAGTTTTTCCTGCTGTATTTAAGAGTTTTTTTTTCCTAATTATTATAATACCTATATAAAAAACAAAATACTTAGCTTGCAGACTAGAATAATTTTTGAAAATATAATATAAGAGATAAAATAATTACTTCTGCTACTATGACGATGTTGCATTAATCATCTGTTTTGTTGAAAAATGTTTAAAAAAATATATACGATCGTTTCTTTAAGTTATGAGAAGTTATTAAATCAACTATTTCTATAAGTTATGAGAAGCATAGAAATGAAAAAGGCAGAATAAATCGACACTTGCTTTTCGAACGCAGAAGTATTTTACTACCTGAGGACAGCTGTAAGGGAGTGCAAATACACACTCAGTAATATTATTTGTGTATATTATATATATTTGTTCACATGGAAAAAAAGCTAGATATAATAGGTGGTTTTAAACCGAGAATGAAAGTCACGGAGAGAAAATGAGAAATATAGATGCTCAAAAACACGTTATAATGCGATTCAAATAAGAATAGGAAAGCTAATGACCTCCATCTGTCAAATGTCGCTTGAAAAGTACGGTTTGCAAAAAAAACTCGGAACACTTTTTTAGCACTCTTTTTTTTTAAACAAACAATAACAAATATAGATAATTAATATTGGTTGATATTTTTTTTCTTTTATTGAGCTTTGGCTATGAATGATTGATAACCTAAATCGTCAACCAAATGTCACTTTATGTTGCGTTCAGAAACTCAGTTTAAAACTTTCGTTTACATAAAGGATGCATGTTCGTATGTGACCTGCATGATTATTCATAACTACTCCGGCGGTAATGCAGAGATGAGCGGAATTGAAGAGCTAGATTCTGATTAATGTTTTTTCTCATATAATCTTATTAAAGAAATATTATTAAAAATTGGTTGTGATTTTTCTCAATCTTAGTAAATTAATTTTAATAAAAAATCTGATGTTTTTTCTCACTTAATCTTAGTTAATAAGTTTTATTGAATAAAAACTTTTTTGCTCACTCTACCTATTTGGTTTGAATTGACAGCTATGACGTCCCAATATGGCGCCCAGTCGGTCCTATTCTTAGTTGAATCGCATTATAGATATTTGTTTTCTATAATAATAATATAGCCTCTTTATTTCCATAATGTACAAGTAATAAATATCATAGAATTATTCATAAGTACATGCATGAAATAATAAAATATTACAACAATTAATACCATAAATTAGATTACAATTAGCATTTTAAAAATTTCATTTCATACAATTGTCAAGTAATAATAATAATAATAAAATTCAAATTCCAAATGATAATTGAATGTCAAAGTAATTATTAATGCATGTCATTATGGACCCCTCATCGAGTAAAGGCCTCCTCCATTTTGCTCCACGTCTTTCTGTCCTTTGCTTTTGTAGTCCAATTTTCACAACCTTTCTTATTATTTCAAAATTCGAAATCGAAATTGTTTTCTATATTACATCTAAAATCAGGGTTGTGGATGCCTGCCACCTTTAACTTACATTTAAAAATACTCTATAAAACAGAAAAAAAAATTGAAAAGTCGATGGAATAATATAATACTTACTAGAATATGACTTAACATCAGGTGGGGGAGGGGGTAATTTGTTGCGCCTCCTATAAAAAAAATATTCGAATTTCGAGGGTACGTAAGTACCTATCCACATCTAGTTGGCATTGTTTGTTGAAAAAGTCTGTATCTTAGGAACTGATAGGTACATATAAACCAACATTGACACAAAATATCAATACCACATTTTCGACAGCGCAATCTCATTGGTGATTAACTCTATTGTTTGTTTTTTGTAGGCACTAAAGGCGGCTGTGCAGTAACCTAGACTAACAACACGGTGTCGGCACACCAATCCATCCTGTGCGGCTTTTCCACCAGTAGCATGTGGCGTCGGCGCGGGCGCACCTAACCTGCTACTGCCGGAAGACACTATTTATTGTAACTAATATTTGTGGGTAATAATAATAATAAATGTAATTTACTGTTTGTTGTCATTTATTACAGAATCTCATTCAGCTCACAGGTGTATCATATTTAGATAAATCACGAATTTATTTCATTATTGTGATAGCACTTTAGGCTTAGTTTCTAATTTTACAGTACACTATTTCACAAATAAAAATTATAAAAGATAAACAGTATCCACTAAGAAGAACAACGATCGGATGTTTTATGTCATCAATCGTAAAAGGTTTTGATTCACCCACTTGCCTGTTCAACCTGTATAGAGCTTTTAATTTTTCATCATATATAATAAAATCCATGTGCTTTAGTACTAGCCCTGCCGATGAAAGTTTGCGAATAAAAATATCTAAAGGATGGATAATTGGTGATCCTTTTTCAAAAATTATCGTTCTTAATAATGTGCCAACATTTTCGTGTAATCTAAACAGAGGCAACCTGTCGTCGTAGTCTGTAATATTCCATATAAGTATGGAAAATTCGGTTTCAGTTAGAGTTGTATATATATTCCGGTCCGTGTTCTTCACTAACTTAAGACAGTCTAGTTTCGAAGGGCAATGGGTGTAGTTTGAGTGATCAGCGGAGGTACTCCACCTTCCATGGAAATGTGCTTCATAATTCTTCAACACTTCACCGTAGTCATCGACTTGCTTTTCTTTTGGTGGATTTGTTATAACGCTTGATAAGTATGCTTGAAACAGGTTAGTTAACAAAATGTTACTTAACAGTAAGTTTATTACGACAATATAAAGTCCATGTTTCGAATTTGTATTAATTTTCTTGATGTTGTTCGTAATATAACCTACGACGATTATGATATTAGTAAATATGCCCATTTTCTTCTCGGAATAACAAGTTAGAATTATTGCAAATACCATAGAGATAGAAAAAATTACTATTAACAATGCCGAGAACTTGTTCATCATTGCCCGCCAAATGCCAAACTCTTTTGCGGTCTGGATAATCATTAGTCGATGATCAAGTTCATAAGGATAGGTATAGTCTAATTGTATAGATCGTCCGAGATCAATCACATATCCACCAATGGCTCCCTCTACTTTCCTCTTTTGTATCAAGCGCAGCATCCCGGAGAATGAACCATTGCGAAGAATTCCCCCAAATTCGCCTGTTTTTCCAAAGTTAATTAACTCTACTGACACGTTATCTGTATCTTTCCATGCCCTTAGTATAACGTCTTCTGTGCCTTTCCTTTTAGTACCGCTCAAGTTTATGAATGGCCAGTAATCGTGAGATATAAACTTAAAGTGACAATTTTTAAGTCTTCTTTTAGGTTTATAGTCGTATATTTTTTCATTGGTGTAAGCAGAGCACGATGAAAAAGTTTGTATGTTTTTATTTACGAGATTGTTGCAGGAGTCTAGTGATTTATTAAGAGAGTATATAATTGGAATTTCCTTGTTGTCGCGTTTATTAATCACGGCAAAATTGATGATATGATAACGAATTAAAAAATTTGCCACTCGCTGTATTTCATTTGAATCTTTGATAGTTATAATAAAATAAGCTTTAGGATTCCAAAAACTATCCCTTATGGCGAGTTTTAGACCAGCTCTTAATTGTTTGTAGTCAATTACCATGATTAAATACACTGAGTTAAAACGTGTTGAGCCATCCCAAGAAAAAGAACGAGACAAGATGCTGCGATTTGTATTGTGTAGAGCTTTGGCGACGGAGTTAGTCACGTTAATAATTGTTACATAGTTGTATGGCTGTTCATTATGATTTTTAATTGGATTTATTACTTTTCTCACACAATCGACAACATCGCTATCATCGTTGTAATCAAATCTGTCGTAAAATGATTCTGAAGATGATATTTTCTCAATAACATTAAAAGTTATAAAGATAACTAAAAATACGTGTCGTAACATGTTGCCGTATACGAAACGTGTCGACTAATGAAATTCATATTACTCACCTATTATTAGAACTTATAACAGCAGGATCGGTAATAAATCAAGCATTGTGTGCTTTTCAAAACATTATATTTAATCGAAAATTTGTCATTTACTTACACCATTAATCATTTTTTACAATGCAAGAGCGCGAAGCGCGACACGCAGACAGGGTAGGGGAGTACAAGGGACTATTTGAAACAAAGGTGATTTGAAACAGTACCGATTTCTCGGAACTTAAACCCGTTAGCGAGTTGGCAACGTCGCTTTTCAATCACTTCCCTCAAGTTCTGTCCGCGGGCTTTCGCATTGGTGGCGTAAGTCGCGTGGTTGTGAAGTCGCTGGAGTTCTGCGTGTCATGTGACTAAAATCGTGAAAAGTAAGTTTTTAACGTTTTTTTTACGATGCTTATATTTTGATAGAGGTTTTGTATTTTGGTTTAAGTAATATATGTTTCGAAAGTTGATTAACTAAAGATTTAATATATATGTTTGGTACAATTGATTTCTGTGTATTTGAATCTTGATTGTGGGTTAAATAAAAATTGCGTGGTTTTCCTTACTGAGGAGATTTGGAACAAGATGTTTCAACTCTCCTCGTTTTCAATTTTATATGAGGCAGCAGTCAATAAATAACGGGCACAAAACAATGTTTTTTTGTTTATTTAATTTGTTTATCTTGTTTCAGAATGCCTACTGATTATAAACGAAAGACTAACAGAGGTATGGCGAGTCGCGAAATATATGATCTCGCAGCAGAAGAAGTAACTTTGTGACTGATATTTAATATAACTGATATCAGTACAAAATATTATTAAAAAAGTTTGATTGGTACTTGAAAAGTTAAATTTTAATAAATACCTTCAAATTATATCGTCATTGTTATTTAACAGCCTTTAATACTTCCTGAAGATCATATGTTTCAACTTTCCTCGACCCCTGTTTCATCTTACCTCGGTATGAGGGGAGTGAAAACAAGTTAACTGGTTACGGTTAAGTCGATTTTTCACCACAATATTTAACAATTACAATTTCTTTGTGTTAATTATTCGTAAGTGTATGACTTATTGATTGGTAATAATATCATATGATTTCTGTCTATATTATTTAGTGTATGTAACAAAATGTGATAATTGTTTTCAACTCCCCTCGGTCTCCCCTATAGTGTTTAACAGTCTATATATGTATGTATGTTCCTTTGTGGCACAGTAGAGTCGAAACGCCTGCACCGATTTTGTTGATTCAATCGATTCTTCCTAATTTTCATACGTCAGTCGATTCGTCCTAATCATGGGAGTGCTACTAAAGATATGATAGTAATTGAAATTCAATATGGAAACAAATAGGCGCCTTCATGTGAGAAAGAAAAAAAAATTTGTTGACAAAGTATGTCGAGTGGGATATCATTGTCTAGATAATCGAAAATTATGTTTAGGTTCCTTCACCTTCCTTTCCACCATTTTTCATTTTATATGACTGTTTAGGATCTACAATGATTTAAAGTTGTACATTTTTGATTTTAATCTTACGATCTTTGTTCTTTTACCCAAAATATACTGAATGGATTTCAATGAAACTTTACAATAATATAGCTTATACATAGATGATAATTTATGTAGCTATTGAGTAAATTGGCCAGAATCACACTAATTTTACAAAGGCGAAAGTTTGTGAGTGTGTATGTTTGTTACTTCTTCACGTCTAAACGGCTGGAGCGATTTTAATAAAATTTGGTTTGCAGTTAGCTGACACCCTGGATTAAAACAAAGGCTACGTTTTACTGCGGAAAAATATCCCTAATAAACCGCGAGGCACAGCTAGTATAACAATAAATGTCACATAGGACGAAAAAACTCTCCCATCTCCGAGCCATTTTGGCCTGCACTGCAAGAACAATAAAAAATAACATGAATATAATGTACAGTGGAAATGTATCTCTCAAATAGTTCTACGAAAAAGTCCCCTGCAGCATATATCTATTTTAATGTATAAGCCATTATCGCTAAAATAGTAAGTCAAAAATAAAATACCATTTCCAAAATGCACATTTTTTATTAACAATTTGTTTTTATCAAAACAAAAACTTTTATCGTTTTTTATATTTAAAGATGATAAACTTAGCCATTTACACTATGTCGTTTCGACAAATATTTAAAAAGTTACAACGATAATAAAGTGATAACGTGGTGTAGGTACTACTATGCAGGAGTAGAATGCGGGAATGGTGGGAGTAAACATTTTGATGAATTTTGGTGTTTATAAACGTAGACCAAACCTAGGAGGAAAAGAAAATTGAGCTACTCGCAGTATCATAATCCTTTACGAAGTACTTACAATAAAACTGTGATAAAGTTCCTTCTTATTAAATGATGAAAAAAAAATTATCTTAAAGTATTAATGATTATTAAAATTTATTGAAAAATTTAGTGTTGTAGTAGTGTGTACTGTTTTCAAAGTTTATTTTTACGATATTACTTTATGTTACGAATAATGTAACCTAATATAATGAGAAATAACCTATTATTCGCTAGTAGGTACATACTTGGACTCCCATGTCTTTATTTTTCAGCTCGCGATAATGTTGGTTTTGTAATTATAAAGGATAATTCTGCAAAATTCGAAGCAAATAATATAAACTTTTATAAGTAAATCACCCTTTCCATCACCCTACTCCTAATATTGTAGCTTAGAACCAAGGTCCCATCTATTTCTAGGTAAATTCATATACGGCACGAAACGGTAACAAACAAACTCACTTTCGCATCTATAATATGACAATGTATTGATCAAATAGCTCAGTATACAGAAGCTCAGCAACTTCAAGAAACTGCACACACGCAAAGCCTATTTGAAGAACTAATGGCATCTCCCGGAGGACCCTTAAACTTACCTTTAAACATGAACTTAAATTTAGAGCCTGTAGCTAGTACTAAGGTTTCACATAATAGTATAACAAGTGTAAAAAAATTAAAAAAATATATCAAAATCAGTAAATTCATAAAAAAAACTGAGAAACTTGTCAAAAAAAACAATTGTTTTTATAAAAATATAGCTCTTAGAAAGGAAAAACTTAACCTGATGGATACCATTGACATATATAATACAAAATTACATGAAAGTAGGCAGATGTATGACCGGGATACAAAGAAATTACTATTAGAAATTCAAAACTTACATGATTCGTTAGATTCAATGAAACATAAATATGCTAGTGCACAAAGTCAAATAACTGAGCACATAAAATCTGCAACAGAATTAGTTGAACTGTGCAATTTCAACGCAGAACGTTATGACTCCTTGATTAAAAGTCAATTGATTGGTTCTTCAAATCAATCATCATTGACATTATCATTAGAAGGAAATGTAAATACAGATAATAATCAAGTTTCCCAAATTTCTGGTCATTCATCGGTCTATATACAAACAATTGGTACAACATATAATAACTCTCCTTTCAAGCCAGCGCTTTCTGAAAACTTGAATAAAAATAAAACAATGATATTCTCAGACAAGTTAGGTCAGGGGCTAGGACTATTAATTAAAAATTCCAGTGATGAAAACATTATAAATATATGTACTCCTGGAAAATCATTTCATGAAATTGTAAATAACTTGACCCACCATAATGTGGATAGTTATACTAACTTACTGTTTTTGTGTGGTGACAGTTCCAGATTATCAATGCGGGACATTACAAAAAGTGTTGAGCACTTATTGAAAATTCAATCTGAATCTAATTGTAAAATAATAATTAGCGCTTTCCCATATGCACATAACTTATCTAGGGAACAGAATAAGCGCATCTTTAATTTAAATTTAAGTCTTTATAATTTAATTAATAGTCATAGTGACGTATTTTTATATTTCGATATAAATAAATATATTAGATATTTTAAGTTGACTACAGATACTATGTATCTCGCAAAGAAATATAGGACCCAGATAGCTAATTTGTTAGCTTTTAATATACAAAATACGGTTATACATGGTATAACTAACTGTATTCGACAAAATAGTGTTAGTATTTCTAGTAAAAGAAATATTAATTCTATTAATAACTTAACCAGCCCAGTTTTAAACTGAGCTTAAAGACAAAAGCCAAACCTAATAAAAGAGTTATTAATATTATTCATCAAAATATACAAGGTTTGGCTGGCAAAGACCTAGAATTAGAATTGTATTCAAAAAGTGAGGACATACACATTATATGTTTAACAGAACACTGGCTCAAGCTTTGTGAAATGTCGTATCACATAAACAACTTTCAATTGTTGAGTGCTTATGTTCGTAGGACAGCCATACATGGCGGCTCATTGATTTTTGTTAACAAAAATATTAAATGTAAGGATAGAAAGGATATAGCTGGCCTTTCAATTGAACGTAGCATTGAGCTATCTTGTGTGGAATTAAATGAGATGATAATAGTATGCGTATACAGACCCCCTCTAGGTAATTTTAACATTTTTGAATCTGTAATGGAGGATGTACTGAAAAAGTTAAAGTCGAAAAATAAGTTTTTGGTTGTTTGCGGTGACTTTAATATTAATATTCTTGAACAAAATTCAATGTCAGTACGTATAATATCATTATTCAAATGTTTTAATTTGACCCATCAATTTTTTGAGCCTACTAGGGTGACATCACATTCAGCAACTTGTTTGGATAACGTATTTACAGATAGTACTCCTGATAATAAATCCATTTTTAATAGTATTACATCTGACCATTATGGCTTAAAAATACAATATAAAATAGATGTAACAAATGAATCTAAAGTGATTGAATTGAGACCAGTAACAGAAAACCGGTTAGAATTTTTTCAAAAAAACATTGACTATAGTATTTCTCATATCCCATGGACACATGATGATCCTGATATTCTTTTTGGGGATCTTTTTAATCTAATAAGAAATGAATTTGATAAGGCTTTTCCCTTAAAAACTTCGAAACTTACTCCGAAGTTACAGTTCTGTGACTGGGCTACGACTGGTATCTATAAAAGTAGAAACAAACTTTATGAATTGTATCATCTAAGAAAATATAATCATTCACAAGGTTTTATTGATTACGTTAAATGTTATTCTAAAACCTTTAAAAAGGTATGTGCAACAGC